CTATCTATCTATCTATCTATCTATCTATCTATCTATCTATCTATCTACCTACCTACCTACCTACCTATCTGTCCCACCTTTACGATTTTTACAAATAACTCAAGGCAGCGAACATATCCATCACATCTTCCTTTTCCCTACAACAACAACCCTGTGAGATGAGTTGGACAGAGAGAGAGGGACTGGCCTAAACTCACCAGGATGGCTTTCTAGGCTAAGGCCAAGCTAAAACTCACAGTCTCCTGGTTTCTGGCTTGGTGCCTTAACCACTAGACCAAACTGGCTCTCTTTACCTGTTTTTTTAAAGTCTTATAATTGACCAGCAATCAATATATACGTCTTAACTTGCTCCATAATTCTGGGGGGCAAGAGATGGTAGGGGACACCATCGCCAGTGGTGGGATTCAAATTTTTTTACTACTGGTTCTGTGGGTATGACTTGATGGGCGTGACATGGCTTGGTGGGCATGGCTTGGTGGGCGTGGCAGGGGAAGGTTGCTGCAAAATCTCCATTCCTCCCCATCCCACTAACCTGCTTTCCAGTTCCGTTCTCCTGTGCAGGGCAACAAAAGAAGACTCAGCCAATCAGCTGGGACTCAATGGGAGGCGGAGAATAGATGGGAGTGGAGCCAGTCAGAGTTGGTATTTGCCAGTTCTCCGAACTACTCAAAATGTCCGCCACCGGTTCTCTGCTGAATACCACCTCTGACTATCACATCTGCTTTTCAAAATTCCCTTGCAGAGCAAAGCTCCCAACCGTAGGCACAATGTGGAATCTCTCCTTTCTAAATGTTCCTCTGGGCTCCGGAGGCATTCTGTGTTCGATTTGGCTACATGGTGCTTTCTGGGCCAGATAACGGGAACAAAGTGATGAATGAAAGCAGGGGAATTTCCTCCCACTATGAAACACAGACACTTTTTTTATTTTGGCCTCCAATTGCTTCATCAGTATTCATTCATCAGGGACAACGAGAATAATTAGTTTCCTCAGCTTGCAATCACCGAGAATCACAGCAAGTGATTCATCAGCCCCAGAAATTAGTATATGGGAGGGTTTTAAAGCACACCCTGGAAAAGAGGGGAGAAGGAGCTCCATCGTGCAGCAGTTGGACTTTTGCTATTGACTTGAACAGGTGGGGCTTCTAACCAGAGAAACTGGGGTCATCATATGCTAGAGGCATGCTTCCTTTAAGAGAGAGCAAGGGTGTTTTAAGTGGCATTGCAGCGGACTCTTTAAAAAAGAAATCTCTAACAGATATGATTTGTTCCTTATGTAAATACCAAAGACCTGTTTTAGCCTGGGGAGAAAACTTCTGTTTGCTGTATATGGAGAAAGAAATATTGGTCGGGCTCACCACATACTGTAGAACAGGGTCTGCAACCTTAAACACTCAAAAAGCCATTTGGACCTGTTTCCCACAGAAAAGAAAACACCGGGAGCCACAAAACCTGGGTGGGCATGGCCAAGTCAATGTCACTTCCCACCCAGTCACATGACCTTCCCCCTATCACATCTACCCAGGTTTTGTGGCTCCCGGTGTTTTCTGTGGGAAATGGGTCTCTCTCCCTCCCTCCCTCTCATTTCTGTTTTTTTTTTTTTTGTATTTTACTTTCTCAGGCCAGGCAAGGAATTACTTGGGAGGGGAGGGCGAGGGGCGGGGCCAGCCAGTAGTGGGATCACCCAACAGGGAGCCACAGAAGAGGGCCCAAAGAGCCGCATGCGGCTCCAGAGCTGCGGGTTGCTGACACCTGCTGTAGAATCAAGGATACGGGTATTTCTGTGGCTGGAGGATATTTCTACAGCTGGACAGCTCCTTGTCTGGAGGGGCAATGGGAGAAGAGTATCAGCATTGGGTGAGGCCAGGGTCCATATAAGGGCTGCCAGCCTCGTTCTCTGCAGCCAGCTATCTTCAGCTCTTGTCTTTAAACCTAAGAACTGAATCTTCATACTCATGCTAATGATGAATTTCCACACTAAGTCTCTGAACCACTGGATGGAGAGTTCTCTGAATTTGCTCCAAGAAATATATGCAATGGCGGGAGGGATATTCACATAGAGAACGACAAGAGGCCAAGGATGAAATATTTGTTTTATCACAAAGGGGTATGCAAATTCCCTCTTTTTCACTTGAGCATTGCAACATTGCATATTACCACTACAAAAGGGGCAGAGTTGATATCATGATGTCATGATACATATTCCCACCCACCCCCTGCTGTTGAATTCATGGCTGAATGAAAGATTGGACATTATGACATAAATGTTGGCCTATCTATCAAGAGTATATTCATGAACTGGAATAGAGCATGGTAACAAGGTCAGCCAATGAATATGCATAGCAACTAAGTCAGCCAATGAGGACTGTTTGGAAACTGAAACTAGAAGTAGCATAGGCGTGGCTCTATATTAAGCTCTGCAGCTCTGAAGCTATGTTAAGCTCTGAGCCTGTCTATTGAAGATGAAACTAGCTTGCTTGCTGAACTAAAGTGAAACTGATGTCTGTTTCTGAGCTCCTAAGGTGCTACTGAAGTTACTTGCAACATGTTTCTGAGTTTGCTCCATGTTGGAGAAATCTACAACTGGTTTGTAAAATCTACTTATTACATTTATAAAGATGTTAAATGAAGCATCAGCCATCTGTGTTTATTTTTCTGGCGCTGAATTAATGCTGCAAAATTCTGAACACTATCTTATCAGTAAAGAAGGCTTAAACTCTTCACTCCATCCTTGATTGGAAATTTTCTACCACGGGGATGTCCAACCTTGGCAACCTTTAAGATCTGTGCACTTCAACTCACAGAATTCCCCAGCCAGTTGAGGTCCACAAATCTTTACGTTGCCAAGGTTGGACACCTCTGCTCTACCATACTGTCCTTTGTGGACTACAGTATTTTCAAAAGAGATTTTTCTATTGACCTAGCCTTAAATCTAGCTCTAGTCCATAAGCCTTCTAATGAATCTAAAATATAGTCCAACTTTTGGACTGTATTAAGTTCTCAAACTCTGATATCTAGAAATGGGCATCAAAAATGTATGAATTCAAAGGAATTCATGAAACAAATATGGAGACATTTCCACATTTTATACCCAGTTTCTTTTCTCATGCTTCTTCAATCTCTGCAGCGCCGGCACTGGACGGACAGGTTGTTACATTGTTCTGGATGTGATGCTGGACATGGCTGAGTGTGAAGGAGTTGTAGACATTTACAATTGTGTGAAGACTCTCTGCTCACGGAGAATCAACATGATTCAGACTGAAGTGAGTTTATCGGGATGGGGTAGGGCAAAGTACATTGTTCCAGGTAAGTTTGAAAGTCTGTGGAGATTTTCAGTCATCCAGGTCGTGGTTATCCCAAAAGCGCTTTTTCCAAAAGGCAACTGGTCTTTCTTGAGAAAGAAAGTCTATTTTGGAAAGAACTTTACTTTTGGGCCAAGTTTGAAAGCCTCCTTGGTGGTTGGTATGTACCCTTTGTGGCATAATCAGAACAGCTGGGTTCCAAATTATTTCAGGAACAGTTTTACTGTGTAGAATTTTGGTACAAGAGCATTGCAGCCGAATAATGAAATAAAATTCTGTCTTTTCAAGATCTTTCATTTGCTTTATATTGGCTCCTATTTTAGCCCAGGTGGCTTTTCATTTTTACTGCATAGCTACACCAGTTATTTTATTATTGTTTATTAATAATAAATAAAACGATTATTTACTAATAATAAATAAACAATTATTTATTATTATTCAGTGTATGATGAGAACATGACAGAAGAGAAGTAAACATATACACACAATCCAAGTAATTATATACAAAACCTCTACAGTGGCCTCATGACTTGGTGTCCAATTCAGCTATCCAGATGATCACCTCTGGTGTTGCTTCGTGCTGATCTTCTAGGGAACCAGAGAACACACAGTGTGGGAAACCTTGTACGATACGTTTAATAGTTTGCATGTCAGCACCACAGCAAGTTAAGCCCATGTTTCCTCAGCTTTAGCAATTTTGAGATGTGTGGACTTCAACTCCCAGAATTTCCCAGGCTGGGGAATTCTAGGAGTTAAAGAGTCAACACAACTTAAAGTTGCCAAGGTTGAGAAACACTGAGTTAGACAAAAGGACTTTATAAATTTTGATGAGGGCCATTCCCAATTTCAACTGGAGATATTTTGGATTTTTTATCCGATGTAGTATCTGCTCTGTCACTGGTATAAATGCCTCCCTATCCTAACCAGCCACATCTCAGAAGCAGAAGAAGCTGGTATAGTCCAGGTTAACCAAACACAAGTGCCGGATTTTTCTGTGATATGTTATTCCCAAGTAAACATATTATTTAAAATGGGCTAGGATAGTGGTGCAGCTTTGAAACACCGATACCCCCTCCCAAAGGGCATTTTAATGATTAAGAAGATCCAACGGGGAAAAGAGAAGTATGACTTATATATCAGGTTCTTATACTGTTCATAGAATCATAGGCTTGAAAGAGGCCTTGGAGATCTTCTAGAATGGTCCCAAATGATCTTTTGGAAAGGAAACGTGTTGCAATCAGAGTTGGTTTCAGGATTGTTCAGCCCAGTTCCAACTGTGGATCTCAAGTCTGCTTTGAGCCAATTTTGACCATTTGATTGAGAAGTGGCACAGGAATGATGCAGTTCCGATGTTCTGAACAAATCTTCATTACCTTCATTCCTACTAAAGGAGCAATATGTCTTCATCCATGATGCCATATTGGAAGCCTGTCTTTGTGGAGAGACCAGCATTCCCATCAGTGAGTTCAGACCAACATACAAAGAGATGGTTAGGATAGATCCACAGAGCAATTCATCTCAGTTGCGGGAGGAATTTCAGGTGAGTAATTGAAAACTGGAGGTTTTCTGGAAACCCTGGGCTCTTGTCCATGTTCCTGTGTTCCCATTAGTATAATTCCAAATAACAGTTACAGGGAAATAAATGAGCGAAAGAGTTATAGGGAAATAACAGTGAGAGAAGGATATGTCTGCATCATATATCCCCAAGAAGCATCTTGGACACTTTGTGACCTGTGGACTTCAACTCTCAGAGTTCCTCGTGGCTGGCTGAGGAATTCTGGGAGTTGAAGTCCACAAGTTGTAATGTGGCAAGGTTGGAGACCCCTGATCTAGTTGATCACGATGAGAAACCAAATGCTGGGCCTTGACGGGCCTTGACTTGATACAGCAGGCTTGTTCTTATGTTCAACCCTGGAAGACGCATCCTTGTATTTTAAACTACAGCTTTTCCTGGAGCACATAGGAATTTGAATAATTTTCTTCTTTTAAAATAGAAAGTGTATTTATTTGGATTTTTATCCTGTCTTCGTTACTTTATAAGTAACTCAAGGCAGCAAGCATTTTATTTATTCATTTGTATCCTGCTTTTATTATTTTTACAAATAACTTAGGGCGGCAAACATATCCAACACATTTTTCTCCTCTTAGTTTCTGCACAACAACAACCCTGTGAAGTGGTCTTGGCTGAGAATGACTAGCCCAAGTCCCCAGCCGTCTTTCATGCCTAAGGCAGGATTAAAACTCACAGATTCCTGCTGATTGGCCCAAAGTCATCCAGATGGCTTCCATGCCTAAGGCGGGGCTAGAACTCACAGTCTCCCAGTTTCTAGGCAGCCCCTTAATCTTAGTCTTAAATGGATAGCTGTGATGCTAAATTTCATCTGCCAATAAGATTATAAAATGCTGCCTAATCTGGTTTCTTCATGTTCAGCAGACTCTGAATTCTGTAACACCCCACCTGGATGTGGAGGAGTGCAGCATTGCCCTTCTACCACGCAATCGCGAAAAAAATCGGAGTATGGATGTGCTGCCTCCAGACCGGTGCCTCCCTTTTTTGATCTCCATGGATGGAGACAGCAACAACTACATCAACGCGGCCTTAACTGATGTGAGTTCATTTCTTGGATGGCGGGGATCGGGTGGGAAAGTCATTGGCCAATCCCATCTACATTTCCTACACTAACTTTAAGCTCTAAAGTTAGGTTCCAAAATTGGATGCTAGGAAAACAGAATCCAAAGAAAAGTTTGACAGAAGTTAGAATAGAATTCTTTATTGGCCAAGTGTAGTTGGACATACAAGGAATTTGTCTTTGGTGCATATGCTGTCAGTGTACATTAAAAAAATCCATTCATTAAGAATCATAAGATAGGTTTGGGAGACAAAACTTTAGGAACAAATATATAAAAAGCTCAAAGCTTTAAATAAGGTTTTAGAAAATCACTATAAAACTTCTAGCAGGAGGGAAAAAAGTCAACTGTAATTTAGTTGCCCTTATTAGCCAATTTAGACTCATCTCCTCACGCTCCCAATTTTTCAGTTTAGCTACAATTGATTAAGTGCTGCCACCTGGCTAGATAATTTGAGTTATTTTTTAATTGAAATGAAATTGACTATTGATCAGTACCTCTCTGAACCTCACTAGTTGATAGAATTTGATAGTCTCCTATTAAATTAATACTTTGTTGTGTCTTTGTATGGGTGAATGACGATTTGATATGTAGATCCAACCTTTGTCTTGTATTTGGTCCCCTGGTTAATTCTGTATGTTTCTGAGTCTTGATGCTGTACAGTAGAAGCCAGCCCTTGTACCTCCCTTTAATTTACTATATCGGACAAACTGTGTCTCTTTAAGCCTCACACCTCAACAGACGCAGCTCCACACATCTTACAGTTGCCAAGCTTGAGAAACACTGCTGTAGATCAGTGGTGTCCAACCTAGGCAATTTTAAGACTTGTGGAGCTCAACTCCCATAATACCCCAGTCAGCAATGCTGGCTGAAGAATTCTGAGAGCTGAAATCAACAAGTCTTAAAAGTTGCCAAGGTTGGATGTCCCTGCTCTAGATATTGCAGAATCATAGTTCTAGCATCTGTTGCTGTTGGTGCTGCTGGCACTTATAATGTGGCATGTAGAGGAACATTGGAAGCAGTTTTGCATTAATTCAGAACATTACCTCATACAGTCAAGTGTCAGTAATGCTGTCCAGCATTTAGAAAGCCATTTCTGTGCTTTTCTTTGGCTTCCTTTTGAGTTAGAAAGTTCTGGTTACATCATTACCTCCACCAAAACCCCAGTAGATTGCATTCATTTTGATGGCATTCTTCTGTCTAGACGATATGATTGAGTTGTATTATTTTATGCCAAAGTGTCATTCAAATAAACGGTACGCTAGCTTCCAGGTAAGAGTAGGGCCAAAGAAAGCTACATTGCCTAAAATAATCAATCACCTCTTTCAATTAACCAAGGAAAAGGCAGCTTGCTAGTAAGAAGGGGAACAATCACTTTGAAAGCCTGCCACCATGCAACGCTCCAAAGGAAAATGAATTGTCAAGGGTGAAAAGTTTCATCTGTATGTTTTTTCCCCCCAGGTCTTTTCTTTTACAATCACAGCATGAAATTATTTGATTGGGATTGACGTAGGCTGACTCAGTGAAAGAAGGCCGTCCTTCAGAGTCTACCTTAAAACCTCATTTCTTCTATCCTTATTTCTTAAACAACAACAACAGTATTTTCAAAAAACATTTGAGCAAAGGGCAACTATTCCATTCATGGGTACTTTAATGGAGCATTATTATGAGTCTGGATCTAGGAATAAGTGGCTTGACTATCTTTACAAGCTGTTTATGAAACACTATTTTTAATGCCACTAACATAAACAATTATTATTAAATGTATAAAGAAGTCATATAAGCTGCATTTCATTTTGATTTGATCAAATCAGCTTTAATTATTTTCCTGGATTTTCATTAGGGCAAGCCCAATTTTAGGACTGTACTTCCCAACCCACAGAAATTTTCATTTTCCAAAATTCTAGGGCCATCTTCATGGCTGGTTGGGGACTTCTTGGAGTCACAAGTCCACAAGATGTTAAAATTTGGAAAACCCTGATCTAAATGATTTATATCTTCTCAATTTTTATTCTAGGATAAAGATACAGGGTGTCTCAGCTCTGGCAACTTTAAGATGTGTGGACTTCAAGTGGCCGAGGAATTCTGGGAGTTTGTTGTCTTCAGGTCTTAAAACTTGCCAACATTAGAAATCCCGTTCTGAACATTTCATCATCTAAAGCTCCTTTTGTTCAGTGCTTTTAACCAACTAAGTTTCAATTGTGATTAGTGAGCAGACTTCATATGAGAATGGCCTTGTTGGAACTGGGTAAGGTTCATCTTAATGCCAGCCTAATTTTTTTTAAAAAGAGAGAACCAAGAGCAGATAATGTGCTTCTCCAACCCTTTGAAAATGGCATTGAAGGACTGAGATGTTTGTATTGGTAGTATGTGTAAAAATCTACCTCACCCAGAATTCTGAGAGTTGAAGTCCATGCAACCGAAAGTAGCAGAGGTTGATAAACACCGCAATACCCACTGAAACATTGCTTCAGTTTTTGTTTCCTACCTGCTTTTACCAATCTTTTTTGTTCTCCTCTAGAGCTACACCAAGAGTGCTGCTTTCATTGTAACCTTGCACCCCCTACAAAACACCACAACGGATTTCTGGAGGTTGGTATATGACTATGGCTGCACCTCCATCATTATGCTAAACCAGCTCAACCAGTCCAATTCTGCCTGGGTAAGTGAGAGAGATTGTCATAGGACTATCTCTATTGTACTAGTAATTTTGTTCCAGATCTGTAAAGTGTTGCACTAGGAACAGGGGGACCCATATTCAAGGTCCTCCTTCAGATGTAAAACCTCGCTGATAATTTGGGATCGCTCACTCTGAGTTCAGCCTATCCCACATTTGCCTCACCTTCTGTCCACCGAGCAGTTCGAAAGTATGTTATATGCGAATAGATAAATAGGTATCACTGTGGTGGGAAGACATACTGGTGCTTTGTGTGTTAGAATCCTGTTGATGCTGGACCTTCCTAGTTGCAACGCCTGTTTTGGGATGCAACGTTGATGGAGAGAGAGGATCCCGGATGATATTGTAGGATAGCTGCTCATCTTTCTTTCTGGTGTGGAACTAGCACGCCCCCTGTGGCACATCTTGGGAAGCGCGCAAACGTAAACCAAACAGGGCTTGCAGTCATAGGCAGCCAAGCTATTTCTCTGCATTAGCTTTGTTGTCTCCTGGCTAACGTAACATCGCCATATGCTAAACAAATAAATGAATAAACCTACCCTACAGAGTTATTCTTGTGGGAAAAGTACTGAAAACAATACAGTACTTTGAGTTTCTGGAGAAAAGGCAGAAATCTAAATAACAAATACGCCGACTGAGCAGGTACTCTGAGTTCTTTAGCCTGAGCAAAAAGAAAAAAAAGATGGGATGAAATAGTTAAATGATAAGCAGGACTGGAATAGCAAATAACTCAAACACATTGAGGTAGTAAGTCCTGGACTCTTTAGCCAACCTTATATCAGTTTATCTTTCATTGCTGGTTTGGGGTGCAAAACTTGCCATTTGTCATCACTTTCTTTGACCCAAGATCCCCTCAAAATAATTTTTAAAATTAGTTGCCATTTGTGCTTTCTCCCCCACCCCTTCTTGTTTAGATTTTAGGTCTTTTATAGGCAGAATGCTTGAAGCAGCTTAGGCTTAAGACTATTTTTTCTTTACTCCTTAAATAGCTAAGAATGGAGTCTGGCTTGAGCAATTTTTGGAATATGTCCATCCGCATGCTGTGCAGATGCTGCTGCTGCCCTCCAGCCAATGGAAGTTGTGCATTCAATGGCAAAGAACAGTCACAGCCAGTCACCCTAGATTTATTGTTTTAAAAGAAAAGAGGGAAGTGGGCAAAACACAGCCAGCCACTGGCTACTGTTGAGATAGTTTTGTAGGAGCACAGCTAAAGGGTATTTGGCCATTGTAAGTCAGCTGAAGAGGCCTTGGTGACCTGCTTCTCTGATCATTATGGTTTGCTGAAATAAATCACAGATTTATTTGGGTTTGCACAGTGGACTGAGCCGGAAGCTGGCAACTAAATGACCAGAGAAGACCATTCTGGGAGACCATTCAATCAATGGGTGGGAGGACTGCTGCCATGCTGTTAAGTGACATTAGGTGGCATAATGCAACCTTCTCCAACCTGGTGTCTTCCAGTATGTAGGTTCATAATCTATAGATCCTCCAAATCTAAATCCATAGAATGTTTATGCTTGCCTTTGCCATCCTGGAGCCTTTGAACATGCCTAGGCCCTCTGAGGAATTCTGGAATTTGATGCTTAGGCAAAGGCAGGGATATGGATTTAATTTTAAATCCTATGGATTTAATTTTGGGTTTATGTAGCAATAGCAATAGCACTTAGACTTATATACCACTTTACAGCCTTCTCTAAATGGTTTACAGAATACAGAGTTAGCATATTGCCCACAACAATCTTTGGGCCTTTATTTTACCCACCTCGGAAGGATGAAAGGCTGAGTCAACCCTGAACCTGGTGAGATTTGAACTGCCAAATTGCAGTCAGCCGGCAGTCAGCAGAAGTAGCCTGCAGTACTGCACTGTGCACCACTGTGGCTCGTGTATTTAGATCTTCAAACTGTGGAGCATTTGGGAAGTTTGAGTCTTCCTCCCTAAATCTTCAAAGCACTCTTGTTGGGTTCGTGGCAGTTTTAAGAACTCATTACAAGTCCATAATGTTAATTTGCTTGATTTGCTTTTTAAAAGCACAACATTAATACTGTAGACTCTTAATGGACACCTTCATTAAATGGATGATTTTATGAGTCAAGATCAGACACTTCCAGGGCCAATGACCCAACTTATTGTCGTACTACTGATACTGAATCAAGGAGACAAATGAATTAAAGGACCCCCCTTTGAGTCAGGATGAGTGTTCTTTTGTCAGTCTTGCTGGCTGAGTTAAAGGGGACCACTGCGTGCTTAATAAACAGAAGAGGAAAATAAACATTATTCTCAGTGCTACCATATCAGGAGGTCTAGTAATACTGCAGGGCCAAAGGGAGTTTATTCAGGAGTGAAATTAACTCTGGAAGCAATTGACACAGAAGGAAATCCAAGCAGTGAACTCTGTTGCAAGAGGGCGATCTGGATAACTGGAAAAGAGAAGAGAGGCAGAACTATTTTCATCCTACATAAGAAACTCTGGTTCTTCTTTGGTCTTCGTAATCAGAGTTGTGTAGCACATTTAACCAAGTCAATTGAAAACTTTCAGCTTGTGTCTGTACAGCATGCTAAGTGTGGTTATTTTTAACTTTTCATGTACATTTTCACAGCTTATCACATTCTGCGAGTTCATCCTTTTGGATGAGTTTATGATTCAGATCCAGAAAATGGGCTAATTTAAACAGATGAACTTTCTTTAGGTCTGAACTTTGATCATGTGACCATGGGGATGCTGCAAGGGTTGTAAGCGTGAAAAAAATGGTCATAAATGGTTTTTTTCAGTGCTGTTGCAACTTTGAATGGTCACTAAATGAACTGTTGTAAGTCGAGGACTACCTGTATTCTTTAAATACATTTGCTATCCAATGTAACCTGAATTGTTAGATGGACTGAAAAGGCTAAATGTTGGGTTAAAGTTCAGTGACAAACAAGTGGGTTTTGTGTTGATATTTCCATCCTGGTAGTTGCCATAGGGCAGGGTCAGCAACCCACTGCTCCAGAGCCACATGTGGCTCTTTCATCCCTCTGCTGTGATTCCCTGTCCCCGGTCAGTAAAAGGAAAAATGACACTGCGCTAGGAGGACTCTCTATGGTGGGGGAACTGGACTTCTGGTCGGAAAAAGGAAAAAGGAAGCTGTTCTAGGAGGAGACTCTATGGTGGAGGAACCAGACTTCCGGTCGGCTCCAGAATTGAATGGGGGGCTTCTGGTTAGGACTTTTGTGGCTCTTTGAGTGTTTAAGGTTGCCGACCTCTGCCGTAGGGATTGAAGTTGGTGAGGCAGGAATAGCAGTTTTCATGCTGGAGAGAGACTCATTCTGTCCACGGAGATCAGAGTGATCAAGAGAAGAGGCAAACATTTGTTGACTCAAAAGAACAGGAGGGAAAATCCTTGAATTACAACCTGGGAACAAGGACCTTTTCAATGGCTATGCCTTCTGTCTGCTGCAGTGGACCAATTTGTTGGGTCATGCCTATTCCTGAATATATATTTACAGAGATAAGATTTACAGATGAACATGGTCTGAAAACAATCTCGTTCATAATTCCCCAAGTAGACAATGCATCAGTTTGGCTGTGCCAGATAAATGAATATCAAGAGTCCTTCCTATCAGTCATCATTCCCTGCCACTTTAATATCAAGCAATATTAAACCTTGTCCTGATGTATCCTAGGTGGGATTGGCTGAAAACAAACCTTGATTGAAGGGGAGGTTGATGACATTGAATTGCTTCCCTGTGAGAGAGAGGGGGGGAAAAAACCAGATGAGATTTATTCATTTAGAGAAAGAGGGACCAGAAGTGGTTTTGTGCAGGAAGGAGTGATGAGTTTTACAATTGCACATAAAAGCAAAATACTGTAAACGTTGCTCGATTCCACAATGCAGGGATTCTACCATGCAGGGATTATTCTTTGTTAGGAGAATAACGAAGTAAAATAACCAATGGGCATAAAAGTGGAGGCAAACTTTAGAAGTTTTGGGGAAGGGGAGAGAAGAAACATTTAATGGTGAACGGGAAGAGAGAATTGCAAAGTTTAATCCACTGAAGCATGCATCAACTCTTGTCTTCAACCTTAAAATTTTGAAATCACCCTTCTACCTTTGCTCTCCCTGGTTGAGTTTGCACAACATATTAACTCCAAACCAAATGCACCACCTTATGCCTTATTAGGTGAAGTAAATCTATCTCTACAGTGCCAGGTATTCATGCTACTGTTTGCTCCTCTTTTTTAAAGCCTTGTTTACAGTATTGGCCAGAACCAGGCCTTCAGCAATATGGACCGATGCAGGTGGAATATATATCTCGGTCAAGTGATGAAGATGTGGTAGCCCGTCTTTTCCGGGTGCAGAATATAACACGGGTGAGTTTGCTCTAAACGTCTGCACTGTTTTGTTTTGGGTTTTTAAACTAAATCAATTCTTCCTTCCTTCCTTCCTTCCTTCCTTCCTTCCTTCCTTCCTTCCTTCCTTCCTTCCTTCCTTCCTTCCTTCCTTTCTTTCTTTCTTTCTTTCTTTCTTTCTTTCTTTCTTTCTTTCTTTAAGAAAAAATTGATCTGAGAGGAATGGAAAGGGGAAAGGGGTTTGCACTGTGGTCATTTGGGGTAATTCTTTTCTTTTTCCACCAGCAATAACTGTAATGTAATAGTTTTTTTGGTCTCTTGGCTGGTAGTTTAAGACTTTTTCTGTAGTTCTGTAATTGGACAGTAGAGAAACATGCCCAATTGGACTGCAGAACAAAATTGAATGATCAATGTAATCTGGTAATATTCGAAGAAGTAGGCAATTTTGTTTATACAAGAATTGGAGGTATGGTTAAGAGGTGAGGTCGCCAAGTTTCTACATGAAACCCAACTGCTGTTCAGGGTAAAAAAAAAAAAAAGGATTTTAAATTGTAATTAGGAAGTTATTGCAAGCTACTGTCACTGGAGGGTTAACACACACCTCCATCAATCTCATCAAAACTAGTTTGCAACCATTGTCAGGAGCTCACTGAGAGATTGGGAGCATGGAGGAGGCTTAGCCTCTCCAATGGAGAGGCAATGGATAGAAGAAACGAGGAAACCATCTTATTTGTTTATTTACTTATTAAATTTATATTTATGTTATTATTTATTTATATCTTACCTTTATTATTTTTACAAATAACTCAAGGTAGCAAACATATCCAATATGCCTTCCTCGTCCTATTTTCCCCACAACAACCCTGTGAGGTGGGTTGGACTGTCAACTCCACTGGCTTTCATGTTAAGATGGGGCTAGTTCTTTCTCTCAATATATATTGTACATATGTTATATGCCAGTGGTCCCCAACCTTTTTTGTACCAGGGACCAGTTTCAAGCACAAACACTTCTTCAAGGACCGGGGTGG